CTGCAGAGACTCGGGCCACACCTCGGAGTTTAGGACAAATCGGCTTGCCGCTTCGAAGACCAACACTTGGTTGGCGTTGGAAGGGGAGCAAACATTTTCAAATTTATGCAGTTCAGTGGTTGGATTTCAACCACTAAACCACAAAAAGCAAAAATGTAAAACATGTTTCCCAACAACATCCATGAACAGACCAAAGGGCCAACAGTCCAACTCGGCAAAAAAAGCTCGCCACTGCGCATCCTTTGGTCAAAATTGATCGGGGGCCAAGATTTGTTGTACGCCTTTCCTATTCCCCTCCGGTTCTGGGCGCGCCTTGAAACCGGGGTGCGCTTTGGAGGGGCCGCTGGGCAACTCCCTTTGCCAAACCGGGAGTCGGTCGACTGGGCCGCTGTCTGCATGCCGCGGTCTCTTGCTGCTCCCTGTGCTTGGCGCTCGTCTTCTCTTAGGTTGGACCCCCACCCGCCCCCCCCAAAAGAACAAGGCGCAACGGTGTTCCTTTTGGTTTCCCTTTGAAAACCAACTAAAAGAGGTACCCTCAACAAAAGCACTATTGGAAGCCCACAAAATAATTTAGTTTAGTACTCCATAATTCCATTCATTGCTGGTCGGCTGGCTGGCTGGTTGGTTCGTTGCTTACTTCGTTGGGGGTTTTGGTCCTTGTAGTATTCAAGAACCAGCCAACCAACAGACCAACCAACCAACCAAAAACCAACCTGATTCAAGTTGTCCCGGAGCCCTGGAACCTAGAAGCACGCAGCCTGGAACTTCAAAAAACCCGAGCCTAAAAAGCCGACCAGCTCTCGCTGCCCCTGTCCAGAACCTTGAAACACGACACACGCCCTACTTCGCTGAATGCAAAACACGGCCCCTAGTCACCTCGTCCGAAATCGGAGCTCTCACATCTTGCGGTTCGGTTTCAGGCCTGGCGGCTAGTTGTCCATTTGGAAAAGCAAGTGGGCACTGGTAAATCACTGGTTTAAATGATTCGATTCCAAACTGAAGCCAGCGGAACCCGTCTATATGAAGTCAAGCTGACCTAAAAGGACGCCAACGGCACGAAAAGGAGTCCCTGGGTCATTTTGAAGCCAACAAGTAAACCTCTGATCCTGGGTTCCCCACCTTATTGAGGGTCATGTCCCTTTTACCATCGTTAGGCAGTTGAGGATGTCGCAGTCAGCGGCCAAAAGCCCCCAAGCTGCTAGGCTTCTGTTGCATGCACTGGGGCCCGGATCCGAAGATGGCGACATGAGTGCTCGAAAAAAAGGTGCTGTGCCGAACCAGTGAGTCACTAGCAATCAAAACACCGGTATAATTAGGGTGTTAATCCCAGAACCATGCTTCAAGAATTAAGAAGGATATCCGCAGCTGTTTTATTGCTGGGATTGTCCCCTGACCTTCATCTACCCGGGTGTTGATTGTGGCGAAGAAGTGCCGAAGAATCCGAAGATGTGGCCAAAAAAACCTAAACAAGGGCTGTGCAACCTGGGGCCATGGATTCTTCAGCACGGCAGTCCGAAGTTCGAGGAGACTGCTTTGCATGGACCCTAAGTCAGTTTCCACTACCCCCAGCGAATGGGGTGTAACCTCTAAAAGGCTATTAACGGTAGTGATGTAGGGAAAATGGGGCGCATAACCTCTGGCGATTGATTGTACTGCTGTAGGCAAAAACGGCTGTATGACCCTTATATAATGGCTGTTCATACTGATGCCGGGGCCAACCCCCCCAAAACAATAAATAAAATAACAATGAATAAATAAACAACTAAACAAATAATAAGCAAATAAACAAATAAAGAGAAAGAAAAACAACCTGGCGGTTGATTCCCCCACCTGGACGTATCACCCGAGGCGCCGGTGAATCGCCCACAAAGCGGCGCACCACACTGACCCCGTTGGCATTGCAGTAGTCTACCTCAGCACCGCACGCATTGGGCGGACAGTCTATGCATGTATGCATGTATGCCATGTCCTGTAACGCAATGAAATGAGATGCAATGAAAATTAATGTCATGTAACGTGAGTATTTGCATCATGTAGACTCCCCCCAAACCTTCCTCCGTAGCTGTTTCAAATGGTGGGTGAAGGTACCTGTTGGAGGTGGCCTATCTAGTATATATATATATATATACACTGTGTATTTATGCATGCCGTGTATGTACGCACATGTGCACGTACGCATTTATGCACGCATGGTCATGAATGCATGCATGAATGCAGCTATGCATGTATGCCTGTATACATGAATACATGCCTGTGTCCATGCGTGAATGCCGTGCATGTATGCATGTGTGATGCATGCATGCATGGAAACTCATGGGAAGCTCAGACAAAATCATGGATCCCTTTTTGGGTCTCAACTGGAAAGGCACGACAAGTCAGCGTCCTGCAAAAGGGCCCATTCTTGACCGACCACCCCCCAAGACCCGCAGGATTTGGGGCAAGATCCTGAAGGTTGATGTGCCGAGAAGAAAAAAGAATCCGTTTGCTGGTTGATGCTTTGAAAGGGACACACCTTCGACAAAAAAAGACGGGGGGAACCAGAGGACCCACACCACTACCAGGAAGCGTCTGCGGCATCTTTTTTTTTCCGGCGGGCCAAGGCCAAGGGGCAGCGGCGGAAAAGGATCGCAGGTGCGCTCGTGGCTCGACCTGCCGCTTTTGGCAGAGGATGACATCTTCAGCCGCGGTTTGGTGCTCCAAGGCTTCTGTTGCACTGGAGCCCCCGGATCCGAAGATGGCGACATGAGTGCTCGAAAAAAAAGGGTGTTGGCAAAAAGGCGCCGAACCAGCGAGTCGCTTGCTCAAAACACCGGTACAAAAATGGTCGTAATCCCAGAACCATGCTTCAAAGGCGGATTCCCGCAGATATTTTATGGCTGGGATCGTCCCTAACCTTCATCTACCCAGGTTTTGATTGTGACTCAGGTGGTTTGGTGCTTGGGAACGAACGAACGAATCCGGGTCTCTGAGTTCTGAGTGTGCGACCTTTAGGGAGTTTGCGGGTGGTTGGGGGAAGAATCAGGGGTTCAAGTCCCACCAATCCAAACCGACTATTGGTTACCGGACAGTATATATATCTGGTTGAGTATTTGCAGGGAGGGAAAAGCAGATGTGGTTGAACAATGGGGATCCCGTTTAGAGATGAACGGGGTCGACATTACCGGGCAGCCCTATGTGCTGCGTCTTCTTTTAAAGAGTTGCCTTGTTTGTCCAAGTAAGAACATAAAGACGAGATCCTGGCGTTTGCTACGAGGCATTCCCTGCATATACGCCATGGTACAAGCAGCTCTTGCAAAGCCGATCCCGATTTGCATTGGTGCCGTGACGTGAAACACTCTCTGCATGCAGTGGGCCATAGTTTGTTCTCCATGATATGGGTTTCTCACTATAAGGGAACCCCCCAAAACGGGTGGTGTCCTTTTGGTTTCCCTCTAAAACTATCCAAAAAAGGAGACACACCTTTTTTGCATTGGACAATTCGCGAGTCCTCATTCTATTCAGTGGTTGGTTTGCCCGCGTAATTTGATCCCAAACTACTGGATATGGGTATAGGCGACTTTCCTCTTCTTAATTTTGGGGGTACTCTTTTTGGGATGCTGGGTCCCCTATTGTTTTAAGACACGCATGGTGCAAGCCCTCCATCCCCACCGCACATGGACACGAGTCTGGGCTCTGACCCTGGTGAAATCCGGTAAATCCGGGCCATAGCTGCCAAAAGCCATATTGGAAACAACAAGCGTGATACAAAATAACTGGTTCAACCGAAAATGCGAACCACAACCAGAATGCTTCAACTCATGGTTCCTTTTAAAAACACGCTGCGTGCCCATTGCAACTTCTCCTCCCTCCCTCTTCCATCCGCCTCGCCCATAACGGAAGGCCCGTAGATCTCACCCAGCGACAAGTCGATGAGCATCTTGACCCCTGGGCCTACCAAATGGTTGTTTCTCCCCTACCGTCTGAAAAGGACATGTGGGTGTGTAGATACAGGTGTATGTATAGATATATATATATATGTGTGGCCGCCAACTTGAAAAACTAAGTACCTTTTTCCTATATATATATATAATATATTATTATATGATATATAATGGCGGACCCTCCTCAAAGAGTGATATTCCCTTTGGTTTCTCTCTGAAACCACCTCTAGGGTGCCCTAGCAACACCCATGTGAGCCAGCATCAAAATTGTACGGTCCCACGGGCAAGTTAGGTCTCGGCGCGGTGTTTTGTCGGATTTGTTTCCTGAGTTTCGGGGCTGTGGGAAATGACCACTTTGATAAAACAGAAAGGGCTTCCCAAAGACTAACCCCCCATACAAAGGGGGAGATTCCTTGTATCACAGAAGTGGGGATAAACCCCTTGATCCCACAACCCTGCTGAGTTTGCCCCATGTCCTGCACCCCGAAAGGACAAAGAGCCGAAGACGTGTTCGACCGTACTTTACGTGAATCTCTTTGGGGTGATGTCAACCGGGAAACGGACACCCGAAAAGGGAAGCATGGGAAGGAAGGCAACCAAGAAACTGGATTTACGGGGGCAAGTGGCAGACTGGCATTCACCCGCTCAGGCAACGGTGCTACGCGTTTAAGGCAGCCTCTCCGTGTTCGTGGCCCCGAACTCGGGACGCTGATGCTTGGTTGACGTTGGAAGGGGAGCAAAAGATTAGATTTTAGCAGTTAAGTGGGGACTTCCCACTAAGCCACAAGAAGCAAAAATGCAAAATGTTTCCCAACGACAACCATGGATGAGCTACTACTCCATGAGGAAATAGCCAGAAAGCAGCGCACCGAGCTGCCAGAAAGTCAGTGCTTACGTCGCTGTATTGATAGAACACAGACCTTTTCGGGAAGGTTCTCAGAAGAGAACCATGTCTCCCCTAGTCGCCATGTTTTGCTTGAATCATGGTGTCAGTCGTGCTGCTACATGCTACAAATCCCCTAGTCCGTCGCGTAACGCGTCAAATCCAGTGGGACCCTTTCTGGGATGGTCTCCCACGCGTCACAACTGGGTAGCCTCAGAGCAAGCTTGCTCACACTGAAAGTCAAAAGGACTCCAACCACGGCGCTCCAAATTTGGACCCAGCCCACGTCGATCTCCCCAGCTACGAGCTCCGAGCTCGTCCCTGCCTAGCTGCTTGCAAATTTTGACCGCAGTCTGCACACATCGCGCGTAGGGCGAGCAAACCACCACATGGAAGGAGGTACCCTTCCTTATGCTGCGAGAAATCAAAAAGCGCCGCCGCAATGTTTCGAACAAACAATCCTTTGCCACTTCCACACATGACCTGAACAAAGTCATCGCGCAAACCAGGCTGGGTGGCCCTTGAGACTTCGCAAGTGGGGCCGAATTCAGGACACAGACCTCAACACATATAGACACAACCTCATAGCACATATGTTGATACTTGAGAGAATCGCTCCTGACAGTGGCCTTGAGTGAAAACTGGTCGCCTGGAGCAGATTCGGGCCTGTTTCACGTGAACTGCTCTTTTGAAAGAAACGTTGCTGGTTCCTTTTGGAAGCTTGACCCGCAACCAACCAACCCAATCTAAGCAGAAGATGATGTGTTGCGTGTCATCTGGGTGTTAGATAAAGGGTCTGACAAAAAAAAACAAAATGCCCGTCCCCTTTCGGCTTCCCTTGTACATCTAAAGATCTGGGCTATTTAGCACAAAGTGTACGGCAGTAACTTTGGGACTGTGCGAAGAACTCCCCGGTCAAATCGCGCACAGCTGAAGCCAGAATGACATGTGAGCCATAAACCGATCGGTGCAAGAATGGTCGTAATTCCAGAACCATGCTTCAGGAACTCATTCCGGCGGATCTCCGCACTGGATTTATTTTTTAACCGGATCATCAATCCCCGAATCGGTGTTGATTGCACGTGACGAACAAGTATCCTTGTTGCTCTTGGAGCATCCCTACCCCTGATATCCAAGCCATCATTAAAACCGTGGGGGGACAAGTCGAACCAGGACTAATATGTTTACCGGAACTACCCAAGGATAATAGAACCGACGAAAATATAAGAAATAAGACCCTATGGAGCAATAGGTTTACCAGTATGAAGAGTTTCAAGAGTTTCATCTAAATTGGAGCGTTGGTCTAACATGTTCAACCCTAACCCTACCAACCCCTTGTGGGTCATCTCCAATGTTGACTCCGGATGAATTAAAGGGGTTGATGAACTCTGGGAATCCCCCTGTTAGTTGATTGATGGGAGGGTTCAATCTGGGGTTCCCATTATTGGGCTGTCCTCAGATCCCCTGATAAAAGTGTAACCTTTGGTGGGCTAAATGGAAACCTCCACTAAAACCCTAAGAAGCTAAAAGGCTAAGGGCTTTTGGAGGGAACACCCCCCTAATAATGGGACGGGTTTATTAACCCTGGGTCCACATCATGGCTTTTCCGTGACGCTCCGACACGCCGCTCCGCTCTCCGCTCTCCGCTCCGCTCTCCGCGAGTCCCGAGTCCGTCCCGAGCCGCTGCTCCGCGAAGCTGCTGATGCGCCGACCCATGCCGTCGGCCTGAGGGAGTGGAGAGTCGACGTAACGAAAACCCGTTCGGTGAGTCGAGGGAAGACGCTGCCCTGGCTACGAAAATCGAATGATACATGTATATATGTATATGTATATACTAGGTCCTCCGGTAGAGAAATTGGAATAAGGTACCAACTTGTTTCTGTAGTCTATTTTAGTAGGGGAACCCTCCCCAAACAAAAGGGTAAAAGGGCACTACTGAAAACCTAGCTTATATATATATATTATAATATTCACATACACATATGTGCAATGTGACCTTTAGAACCAATCGAATATTGGTGGCTGAATCGAATCATTGACATTGAAAGGACATGGGACAATTGGTGAGTCCCTGGATTTTGTGGGGAAATCTAGTGAATCCCGCCCATAGACGATCGGCCCGCCACACTGGGAGGCCCTTATCTGATGTGGGTCCAAGTTGGCGTGACGGGTCCAAAAGCTAAAATGCGGCGACCCTTTTTGGGGTTGACTTTTCCTCGGTTGCTTTCTGCTCCCCTGCTAAAAGTTTAACTTAGTGGTTTAATTTGGAAAACCCATTACTTGGTTGACGTTGGAAGGGGAGCAAAAATTTACATTTTGTAAATTGTTTCCCAAAGTCTCGGCCCGAGACCTGCCAGTGGTGGACTAGCCATCAACTGACGCTCGGGAGCTGGCCCGCCATGATTGCGCCTTGCTGGATCGCCGACCTCGCCTCTCGCGAGGGCGACTTCACCGGAGTGCTTCGCATTGGTGGAGTGCGCATGGGCACGTGCATCTCCGCGGAGGAGGTGTCCATCGGCATGAAAGTGTGGATCCCCGACTTCTTCTCGCGGGAGCAGCTCGTCACCGTCTACAGCTTCGTGGCTTGCCAGTCTTCAGATGGCTCCACGTTCGTGCTGCCCCAAGATCAATCCACCTGGTATGCCCACAACCCCATCAGCATTGTGAACTACCAGCACATTAAGGAGGTGTGCTCCGGCATGGGTGGCCTGGGACTAGGCGCCGCTAAGACTGGCATCCGAACAGTCGCCTACTTGGACCACTGTGCATTGGCCTGTGAGGCCCTCATCAAGAATGGCGCCAACAACGTCATACACGGCGACTTGTGCAATCCTCAGGACATTGCTCGCCTACATGGAGCCAGTGATCACAGACGAACTGTACTTGGAGCAGGATTTCCCTGCCAACCATACAGCTCTCAAGGTGACAACCGCGGCAAGCACGACCCCAGATCTAAGGTCTTTCTGGCCACACTTCAAGCAGCCTGGTTGACGCAAGCCTCTGCGGTGATCCTGGAGTGCGTCCCGGGAGTCCAGAACCATGGGTTCATCAATGAGCACCTCAACGAGCTTGCCACCCTGATGGGATTTCAACTGAAAACCATCGTGCTGTCGCTGCAGGACCAGTGGCCATGCAACCGGGTCAGATGGTGGGCAATCCTGGCTCCAAAGGAATTTGACCTCACCGACTTCGTGCCCTGGGGCAAAGACATCCACTTCAGTACCATCCAGCACGTCATTCCTGACTGGCCGCTTTGGGACACCGTGGCCGAGAAGCAACTCCAACTGGACGAGGTCGAGCTCACGTTCTACATGGACAGCAACTATGGCCAGGAACCTCGCCTACTACAACAATCTGGAACATGTCCCACGTTGCTCCATTCATATGGCAGTGTGTTGCGCCAATGCCCTTGTGGTTGTCGACAAGCTCCTTTCAACCTACAGCGACTACAGCGTGGGGGCATCAGGGGATGTTACATCATCTCCCAAGTCACCGGCAAGCCCCGATACCTCCATACGTCTGAGGCGGCCCTGCTATGCACCATCCCAGTGAACTACAAGTTCCCTGGGGACGCCAGAGCTGGGCTTGTCCTCATCGGCCAGGTCGCTGCACCCCTTCAAGCACAATGGGTATGCGCACATCTTGTCAAGGCAGTCCAAGCTTACTACGGCTGGGAACCTTTGTGCCAACCCCAGACCCTCATCCAGTCCACCAAGCACGAGCTCCTCTGGCAGAAGCACCACCTTTGGGCCACAGACGACTCCCACGCCACTCGACACGTATGGCTTCAGGACAACCATGGACGTGCAAGACCTGCTTCAAGCAGAAGAATGCCTTGCCGAACTCCCCAAACAACTGCAGCTCTGGGATGGAAACCGACCGGTGCCAGCTGATGCCGTCCTTCAAGATAGAGGTCTGCTTGGTCCCTATACCTTGCATTCCCCATGCACCACCAACCCAAATGTCAGCAACCATGACATCGAGATCCAATTCCACATCGGGAGAACCACAACCACGATCTCAACTCAGGCTGGCACCTTCCTTTTCCAGGCATGCCTCAAAGGGCACATCAACCCCAGGGAGACACCACCTGTTGATTTGCTTGGCCACGCGCTTCGGCTTGACGCTCGCCTATGGCACAACACTGTTCTCAACTGTAAGAGCCTCATTGTTGCCGGTGGACCCTCTGAGCACGGGCTCAATGACCAGCAGATCAGCAGTGAGCTGCATCGACTAGCTCACACACACGGGGAACTCGGAGGCCAGCCATATCAATGCCCGGCTCCTCTCTTAGTCAAGCGAGATGAGGAACAGCACTTCGTCCTCGAGCCACATGCACTTGAAGCCATCACCAACCTCGACCCTTCCATTCTTACCACCATCATCTTCGCCTTTGACGGTCATTGGGCACTTCTTGTTGCCGAACCTGACGAACACTGCTTCAAGGCAACCATCTTTGACGGGCTCGATCATCGGGCTCACGAAGGTGGCCACTACATCGCTACGACCCTTGCTAGTCAATGGAACATCCCGTGCAAGTGCATCCAAAGCCTCACCTACTACCACCAACAAGACAACTACACGTGCGGCACTATAGCACTTGCTCATCTCGCGGCCGTTCTCGACCTCTGGCCTGAGTCCAACCAGCCCGACATTGCTACTTGGCATCGTCACCTTCAAGCTGGCAACCCCACCAACGAGTACATCCACGCAGCCAACGGCCCATGCAATGAAGAGGAAGTGCTCAAGCAGCTCACCGCCATCCTCACAGACAAGGGTGTACCACTTGATCGCGTTGAGGAGAGAGCCACCCACGCCATCAAGAAGCTCGGCCTAAGCAGTATTGCTGAGGCCTTGGCCTCCAAGCAAACATGGAGCGCCCTCAAGGCGCTAGGATCCAGGCCATCAAGCCCCTTCCAGTGGATCAGGCACGACGAACTCCTCAAGAAAGTCCAGCTCAAGGCTGCTAGCCAGTTCGGCATCAGCACCTCCGTCAAAAAGAAGGACAAGAACAAACCAGAACGTGCCTCTGAAGGCAAAGCTGAGTGCAACATCACGCCCAGCGAGCTTCAGCTCATACCAGGCACATTCACTGGGGAAGACGGCATCCCCATTGAAGCTCTCTCCATCCACAACCTCAGCAAAGGTCGCACTGGCATCGGCTTTGCTACCATCAGCGAAGCAGCTCCATACCTCAAGGAAGGAATCCAGCTCAGCACTGGCCCCCTCGCGATACTCACCACCACCTGCATCCCACCAACGCTTTGTGGACAACTTCCAACCGAGAACATCCTCTTCCCTGCAAAGCACATTGCCACGCAGGAACCCATCCTCATTCACGGCAGCATCATTCAGCTTGGCCAGGTCATGGTTGCACGGCCAGTACGCAACACACTCCCAGATGTTGCACCCATCGCAACTTGTACGATCAAGCTTGCCATCTACCAGGACCAATGGGCCAACCCATGGACTACCTTCGTTGAGGGACCTATGCGTCAGGTCATGCAGCATTACCCCATCATGACGCTCTGCCGCTCTGAAGGCTGCGGTGACACCTGCCGAAAATTCCATCCCCCAGTTGATGAAGAACAAGTCACCAGTGTCATCCTTGACATCTGGGGAAGGCAGTGGGTCAACGCACAAGGAGCTCGTGTCCCCAAAGAAAAAGCCACCAGCTGGACCGCTCTTGTACGAATCCCTCAGGTTGCCTTCCACAACCTGCTCAACCTTTCCGGCACGGATGGTCTCTATGTCGACCCCAGGGACTCCACTGGACGCTCCCCGGATGAGCAGTTCGGTGTCGTCTGGCTTGCTGGAGCTACTCTTCAGACCATTTCCTACAAGCACAGGACCACGGAAAGCTCGGTCTCCATCGTGCGTCTCAACGACCGATATGGGCTCCGATTCGCCTCAGACCACCTACCACAAGCACACAAGGAGCTCAAGCCCGACGAGCCCTACCTCCAGGTCAAGGTCGTTGACATCTACAAGATCTTTCCCCTTCCTCATGGAACTCAGCGGCAAGGACTCGTCAAATCCCTTGCGGCTTGGAAATGGAAGGCCAAGCCACTTCAGCCATGCAAAGGTGATCAACACGGTATCGGATGGGAGGTCGGTGCCGACACTCCCCCGCCCAGTGACATCCTTCAAGGAGCTCATGGTGATGTTCTTGTTACCAAGCTCCGTACGCTCAAGCCCGATCTCAACGGCCCCTCACTGGTCGCCTTTGACAGGACGCAGAAATACCTGAACAACAACCCCGAGCCAGCCGCCCGTGCCTCGCAAGACCCTTGGCAAGCCGGAAGTGACCCATGGTCACAGTGGTTTCATCAACATCCGGCTGAAGGCAAAAGCGCAGGAGCAAAGCCAGCCGCAGATCGTCTTCAACAAGCAGAAGAACGCATCAAAGCCACCGTCACTGCCTCGCTCCAGAAGCAAATTGACCAATGGCAGCAACCCTCTGGATGGGACACCGACCAGAACATGGAGGGCGACGACCGCGACAAACTCGACACCCGCTTCCAGTTCCTGGAGTCATCCGTAGCCGAGCTACGACAACAGAACGTCAAATTCGAGCAATGGTTTGGTGACGCCGCGGAGGCCAATCAGGTCACCAACCGCCAGATCAATGCCCTGGCCACTCAGGTCCAGACCCAGCAACTTGAGCTCGGCAACCTCAACAAAACTGTGCACGACCACAATGCGGAGATTCGCAGGGAGATGTC